AATTTTATTCTCTAATTAAAAATGTATAAATTCATTTTTATAATTAATTATTTAATATTATATATATTTTTTTATTATACAGTTTATCTATTTATTTCCAATTTTGGAAACATAAGATTGTGATCCGATAAAACATTTGCAGTTGATAGATTTAATAAATGAAGTAACAGACGTCGGAGACTGTAGATTAATACTAGTAGCAAGATTAAGTAAAAGATTCTTTACGAAAGAAGAAACTGTTGGAAGAAAAGCATTCCTAAGAGGATTAAAACCGATTCATCCGTGTGAACTGCGTGTATGAATAGCACCACTTGTGGTGCTTCTTGGTACTGACTTCCTATAAAAGACTGCGAATCCACAAAGAACTGCTTTAAGAATACATCTAGGAAAGATCTATAAGGTCACAATTCGAAAATTTAAATTTCAAAATCGGAAACAGGGCTGTTACCGATAAAAATACTCCAAATCGTTCGAGGGCATCTATTCAAACTAGAATAACAACAGTTTTACGATGCCTAATAGCAGTTTCGAGCAGCGAATTTGATCCGCGTTAAAAGCATCGAATTGTTATTAAGCTATTGTTTATTTAGGCAATAGATTATCTTGCATACAAAATTCATCTTCAACTCGAGTAAAAGTAATCGTCGAGTTACTATTTAGCATTAGAATTAGGAAGGACTATTCATTGATGAATGCACGGTTCGCCTTTTATCACGAATATGACCAACTAATCACGTTCTCTAACACAATTAGGTCTATCCACTTATAAAATCCAACCGCATATCTCTATTCATATTGTCACTCTTGATCACGATTAGAATTTTAATAGAAATGAATTAAAATTCGGACCTAATATACTTAACTTAATAATGTATAGCAGATCTACAACAATTTGATCAATATCCCTTCCGAGTCATCAATATCAATCCGATACAATAACCCGATAAGCGCTTTATGAGAAAATTATTCCAACCGGGAATACTTCTTTTCTTTGTACTCATGAACAAATCATTTCCGTAGTAGAAAGGAAATACTTATAGCCATAATAAACATCTGCATCTCGGTACTGAGAACACCTGTCCCAAAATAAATTCTTCGAGTTAAAAAGATTTTGGAGTTACATCTCGCATAGTAATTTTCAATCGTTTTTATTATCTATGACTTCATCGCCTTATCCAACTTGTACCTTGGAAATATACTAGGAGAACCGCTTTAGAACAGGCTAATGACCCGAACTTTGTGACGTAAGAGCAAAGCGGAACTGACAGATGGCATCCAACTTCATGTGCCACTGAATTTAAGCAGCAAAGACAGATGATAGCTCTGCCAACGTACCAGATGCTCTTTTTATCTGCTAGATTAATTGGTAACTCGCTTGTTAAATATGGAAGTATTTTTTTGCGAGGTCGTTATATCCCATTCCAGTTAAAATTTTAAGGCTAAAAAGCTCTTGTAGGAACTACTGTATACCTTCGAGTCCGATCAACCCAACTACTTTCCCGAACCGAGTGGATTATCGGTCGAGATGAACTAGAAAGATCGTATTTAGAAACGACATCCGGGTTTATAAACTCGGCACAATTGGATCTGGTTGCTCGAGACCTAGACCAATATCAATTACTTATAGGTATTTTTCCGACGTATTGTTTTGTACAGCCGATAAAAAGCGGAAACACTTTTACGAAGAGTTAAAGGTACTAAAATATCGGGTCTAGTGCACTTTCCGCATAATTTGTGCTCGTGAGTGGATATTGTGTACTGTCGGGCAGCTAACCTCATCCAAGTTGAAAAAAACCAGCACCGAATCATCTAACAAAACAGGACTAACCAGTCCCTCGGACGATTCGCGACATTTCCACTTCTGACTTCACCGTCGGTTGGAGAACTAAACTAGGCCAAGTATTACTCCCCCCCCCTTTTACTGGTAATTTCGACCCTAACATATATTTTTCGTCCGCTCGTTAGAATCGAATGAAAGGATACAATAGCCACAAGAGAATATAAAGAAACATTCGCGACTTAATGGAAAATTAAATTACTTAATTTCGACTTTTTTTTTCCATCGTGGATAATCCGTAAAATGAAAAAGAATTAATGGTAGCAAGTAGGCCATTTTTTTTTTCTTTTGCGTAATTGTCCGGAGAGTTTAAAATCCTCACGAAGGTAAACTCTAATGGAAAACAAAAAAGTACATTCGCACTAATACCGTACATTTGACTAAATTCAAGGTAAAAACCAGTTTAAAAAGTGTCCTTCGTAAACAAGCTATAACCCAGATTCGTCTGTTCCTGTTCTGTGTACTGTGGGTCAGAAATATGTTAGGGAGCTGGTTGATCATCTTCCGGGGAAGGATCGTTCCTTCGCACAATAGATAATCCAGTACCATTAAAACAGATTTGTGGCACGACTGCTAACCTCTGGGCGGCGAAAATGTAGGTTAGCATCGACCACGTTCGACGGAATAGAATTCGATCGCCCCCAATCGAAATCGGTTTAAAGTAAATTGCATTCCCGACATACAAAAAAAAAAAAAGAAGCGATTCCATATCCGTAGCGTTTATGAATGTGAACCGATGGCTATAAAAAGTCTGTATCATCCTCCAAGATCAAGTCTTACAAAGAAAATGATTAATTGCGATCGTGGAGAAAACTTTTATGAATCAGAAAATGATATACCTATCATATCTATAGTTACTATATATATAAATAAAAAGTAAGAGAGATTTTTAATAAGAAATAAAATTCCATTTCTCTCGTCCGGAAATTCATTCTAAAGTTACGACATAAATCCTTGTTTTATACTGTATTTGACGCACGTAATTTTAAGTTTGTCAACGGATCATTTAAATAACATCTTGTAGGAATGTGTGTGCCTTCCGGAAACTCATCCAGCACCTGTTGGACACTCATACTCGGTATTTATGTCGGGGTAAATGAACATTCGCACACCGGTTTCGATAGATATCTGGCAAGATCGGGAATGCCAACTCACAATAGTTAGTCAAGGACGAATGGCAATCTGTAAAAATGAAACATTTTCCAGAACAGAGCCCTTTATTACGTTGGAAAGCATCCAAAGAGTGCACCTCGCCTCTCATACATAAATGGATATATATACAGACACTTTCCGATACATAATGGATGTTCACTATTAAATTCCCACTATCAAACGAATCCAAATCGCGCGCCATTCCCTTACTGCTCCATATAAATTAGATGCACACTAAGTTGTTTGCCAACAAAAGGTCTCCCGCATTAATGTTTCGGATCTTTGCAACTAACCGGCATAAAACTATGATAAAATAAGTATCACGTTTACTTTCCGACAGAAAAAAAAGAACCCTTCAATATATAATCATCCTTCAGTAATAACGACAAATCGAATCTTTTTGAAAGGATATACAAAACAAGACGTTCGAGTATGTAAATTAGATCAGCTGAGCAAAGAGCATTTTTGTGCAAGAAAGTTTTCCTTCTACAGCATCTGGAAGCGACTACTTAATTCACAAAAAGAATTAATTAAGAATAAATACAAAAACAATTTATTCTTACTGATGTCCTTCCTCATCGATTCCTTAATTCTAAATTAAATTCTTGGGAAAATAAATATTTTCGAAGAATCTAAAACGTCTTCGAAACAAGAATAATTTATAAATCTACTCGGTATAATTAGATATAGATATAATAGAATTGGGTTTCTCCGAGCAGTATCGGTTTCTTCTTCACGGGAGCTTTGAGTTTCTCCATAGAAAAAGAAAACAAAATAACTGTAGCGCGCATAACATCAAAGTCTATCTTGGTATTCCGGAATAACCTTGGTTGGAAAGGTCATCTTTTGATAGAAGGTCAATCAATACGCTTCATCCATCGAAACACACCTCCACAGTCGTGAGGAATATCTTCCATAAAATTTCGTCCAAGGTCAAACATCCAATGGAAAATGGAGCCAACCTTTACATTCTTTTTATTTAAAAGCGATTATATACGAGATGATGATCTTAACCATAAACCGAACTTCCTTTCGCGGCCTCTCGCTACTCATACGCTAATTAAGAACTAATGAAAATTTAATTATGAAACCTGATGCGATATTTAAAAGGACCATGCGATTTCAGCCACGTCGGGTAATATCTACACATTCATTAAAAGTATCGTAATTAAAGTTTGTTGTTGGAAGTTTTGAAACGATGAGAGAAAGAACGGTTAAAATTGCAATTTTGTAGGAGGCGAAAAGTAAAGTAATGGCAAAGTATCGAGCTTATCAAACAAATTGGTCGTACGATTATCTGATGGGTTGCGACGATTCCGGAACGAGGAAAGTATACAGATGGTACGGAAAGAGAATGATGCATTAAGTTTTGCGCCATTAATAATTAAATCTACAATTTCAGGGAGGGATAGAAAATTTTTCAGATTGGGTGGGGATGCGAGAAAATCGATGGAATGAGTCATGGGCCACCATCACCATCCGCGCGACCGATGGGATGAAGCAGATGAAAACGGAGTTATGACGGAGGAGGGAGAACCGCCAGAGCCATAAAGGGAAATAACAACAGTGATAATTGCAGGAATTCCTTCACAACTTTCCTGACTTTCGGCATAGAATAACAGCGGAATCGAATATACTGTTGTATTTTTATAGACGACAGGAAGTAAGGTTTCAAGGACGCCTCCATCACCAAACGGGAATGACGCGATCCACCGGTATTTCGTAACAAGGGAGTTTTAAATGGAGGAGACAGAAATTGTTGATTTTCTCGGGCCAAACCGTAACGGTTCTCAGTTCAAAAAGCGAACTGAATTAGAAGATAATTGTCGAGATGTAGGTCAAAACGCCACTCCGGATGGATGGATGGCAAGCGCAATCGTGTCACACTATACAGTCAAGTAGGCCTAAACAGCAGGAAAACGCGGTTGTTACGACTACATTACTCGCTCGAACGATTCGACAGACTTTTCTGAAATGAAGACAGAAAGAAAATTAGGAAGAACGCACTTACCTATCATGAGCAGAGACACGGTGAGATGTTCTCTTCCCGTAGCCTTCAGAGCACCCAACACAGTACCGACTATAGCACAACATAATCCAACGAAGGCAATCATGACGATAAACCACCTTATGCTCACCGTTTGCGTCACCATGACACCACAGCAATGTTTAGGTTCCTCCGATTCGGAGGCTGCATGGTTACTGAAGGCCGTCGTCCGACCGGACGAACGCAATCGGTCCCTGGGAGGAAAGGGTCTGAATCCACCCCTCCTCATGGACCTCCTGGGTGGAGAGTGAGGGCAGGCGGGTAATACCGTGCCCGGCGTCCCACACATGGGGGCTACCGTCGGAGGAGGCGGAGGAGGATGAGAAGGAGGCGGAAGTCTCCTACCACCTCTGTCTGTCAGGGGCGGTAGGGTAGAATAAGGTGGAGGCATGTGCGAATTGAGGATATCTGGCAAGATATCCGTATTGGAGGGGCCACTATCTACGCTGGTGTAGCCATCAGAGTTAGGGGTCCTCCTTTCGTTACCATGACGACCGCTCGGGTTCAACCACTCCCGATTACACCTATCTGTCGACGGAGCGGGATTAGGGGTCTCGCTGTGCCTGGTCCTTCCCATGCTATCGCAGGTGATGGTGCCTCGGGCCATCCCACCGTACAAGTCGTGACTCGCACTTAACACATTCTCCACTAAACCTTCGGTACCACCACACCTAGCAACAGTGGAACGGCCGTTTCGTCGGACATCCTGCTCGACGCTCACTGTAGACGAACTTGGATCGCAGGCTGTGGGCACGGGATCGACAATCACACCATCAGCACCGACTACACTCTTGTCGACGGCATCTGTCGACCTACCCGTAACACGACGTCGTTTCAAGCGCACTGGCTTGCCTCTGCTGAAACATCCACTGGCACGGAGCTTGCCGACTGCAGGCGCGAGCGGGGTAGGACTGCCAGCTGGCGACGATGAAACGTGGCACTGGACTGGGCTACACTTTGTATCCGACACGGTGGCGGCCGTACGATGACCGATGGACACACTTTCGACCTCTTCTACATCAAAGGCATCGTTGTCGAAGCCGCTGCAACAACACTCGAACGTCGTACCTGCCAACTCGACGTTCTCCGTCTGTCTTCTGGCCTCGATCTGATTGGCTGGACCGCGAGCTGCCTGCTGCAGTGACGACACCACCTGGTGGCCAACATGGTCGGCGGGGGAACCCGGATCGCAATTCTTCATGGCGTTATCTGTTCAAACAAACAACAGTTAGTCTTATTCCACTAGTTTTTCTAATCGTATTTTTTATATTATTTACGAACGATAGCCATCGCCTTACTTACTAAACGTCTTACTACAATTATACCAATCTATCGTATCTTATCAATTAACTCTCCCGTTTCGGACGTTTGTGAAAAGGGGGGAAGAAAACAATTATGAGGGAGAGAAGACGGAATTAAAAAATATATTTTCGGTAGAAGGATTCTCCATCGCCAAATTAAGCGTCTCGTAGAGAAAATTCAATCAATCCGTCCAACCATCCACTCGTTTCTGAATTATTTTACTTGGTTTTGAGCAGTTAAAGAAAATCGATGCTCGTTTGGCTCCGGAAGAAACTCGTGTTTCGCGTTATCGCGGACACACTCGAAATTTTCGCCTCAAAAAATTACTGTTTTTATCAAATAGAATATTAGGCGGAGCGAGTTTGACTCTACTTTAATTATTCGATTAACCGACCACGAAAAAAAAAAAAATTCAGAAAAGAGTGGATAAACAAGGAAGACAAGCGGGTATCATTCGAAGAGCTTGTTTGGACAGGTCTCGATGTTCCGGTTTCTCTTCTGTGGGTGTTAGCACAACTAGAGTAAACACATTGAGCTCCAAGAAACGACTATTGGGATCGAGCGAGAGAGTGGAAGACAATTGTTGCCGAGATGCTAAGGTAATTAGGTAATGGGAAAGAACACACGCCTGGCAAAATGCGTCTCGTTTTCCGATTTTTCCGTATGGGAGCACCGGTAGAAGTTAATAAAGGACGTCATCTGTACTATCCCGAAGGGAAGTGGTTCGCTGACGTCATCGTTCCCTCGCGTCGATTAGCTCAAACGGCCGAGAAGCGTTTAATTCGATTTATGTAACAATCCTACTCTTTAACCTTCCGCGTTAACAATCGAAAGGCACAGAACGACGTCGAGCCTCCTCGGAATGGAATAGAATTCCTTGGATTTCTAAACAACAGTTTCTAAAGTCTCCTCTCTTTTTCCGGTGTTCTACATTTATTGGCAAACAGCGCGCTACGATAGATCTTTCCATCATAAGATGCGGTTACGCAAATGACCATCTGTCAGAAGATTCCGACAGATATGAGAGTGTACGGTCGTCGTACGTCTGTCTATTCTATAGAAGGGAAACGGGTAAACTACATCGAACGAACCGAAATAAAAAAAAAATAACTCGAGCGAATAGAATCCCTCGTGAGTAACTATCATAAACCATATCGTTTGTGATATAGTCTGGAAGTGGAAGAAATAAAATTCTCTCTTCCCGCAACTACAGAATCGAATACAGTAAGCACTCAACTTCCATATTTGATTTCTCCAATTGACTTAATTTAAACTGGAAAGAGAAAACGTAGTTCGTTGTTTATCTTCCGAGAATTGCCAGATTTTTATTCGTTTAGCTGTGGCACCGAGTGTTTTTTTTTTTTTTTCTTTTTTTTCAGATTTCTCCGGGTTTGTTTACCGAAAGTGAAGACATAACGAATTCGGAGGTTGGAAGCACGCCTCTCGGGACTAATATCAAACAGATGTTGTCATTATGAACGACTGACTTCCATTAAGGTAAATGACAGCCGTCTTAATGGATCAGATAACTGGATGGTTGGAAGGTGAAAACGGGAAATTATCCCATCACATTATTAGTGACGTCATCGACAGTTTAGGAGAGAGAGAAATCGAAAAGTCATATTTCTCTTGGAATGTAGGAGGGAAAACGACTATCCCAGACAATGCCTGGGGTTTTCCCGGAAAAATCGTTAACGGTGAGTAATTCTTCCAGAAAACTGCGAATACCGACTGGGAAAATGCAAGAGCTACAGCTTCACCGACACAGAAATGTAAAAACAAAATACCAGAAATCCCTTCTTTTAACGAGAAAAATTACACGAGATAAAACGGAAGGAAATGCTAGAAAATAAAACGCGTCACGGATTCCATCTTTCTGTTTAAATATAAATCATTAATCATTACACGTACACTATGTAAAAATAAAAGTTAAATATCTTTTTCTAATGTAAACTCGGCATTATAAACCGATTTAAAAAAATAATAATAATAATAGAGATTCGATAAATAATTATAATCGCACCGTTTAAAAATAAATATAATACTGTATAGGATGTTTGTTTTCAAGTAATATATATATATTTTTTTTACTTTGTTTTACAGACGTATATAGAATTTTAATTAAAGTTTGTGATTGAATCGGTAATGTTATCTCTATGCATTTTGCGAGTGTGGTCTTTTAAAGGTTTCGACCATAAAGACCATCCTAAATTAATCATTTTTATAATCAACCTAATTACAATCTCGTATACAGTCGACCCCCTATAACACTTGATTTTTCTGTTTTATATGAATTCCATGTTGTACGAGTCACTTAGATTTTACAAATACGTGAGCCGTTCACAGCCTGGCCACGTATTTGTATAATCTAAGTGACTCGTACAACATGGAATTCATATAAAACGGAATAATCAACAGTGTTATAGGGTGTCTTATAAAGTTTATTTTCATTCAAACCTAAAAGAATTTCATTCATTGACATTCAATAAAACCCACACACACTTATATTTCGGCTCTTAAATGTCAAGTTAAAGTTCGAATTAATGTTTTTTTATTGCATTCTCGTCATATTCATCGTTTCATATTTTATTCCAACGCAGTTACGTAACCACAGCCGGGGAATAAGTCTTTCGCATTTGGCTTAATTATAGGAAGGAGCTGTATTACCAAGGTCACAATCAATTTTACTTTCGAAGGCCGCACCCACGATTCGGGAGATGAAAGCCAAGATTTTAGTTTTGCTTGTAGGTGAAACTTTTTGCTTGTAGGTGAAACTGACCTCTGAGCCGGAGCCAGATAATACATCAAGTTAAGCCTCTAGCTATAGGCTATTTTTAGCCTTTTACAATTTTGCTTCGCTAAATCCATGCCTAATTGCCGTTGTAATTACGGGTTACGGGATAAAAAGGCGATATCGTCCAGCCCATCGAGGCCGGAACTACGACGCAACAACAATAACAGTGTCGATAATGACCCTTTTTTTGTGCTTTTTACGGAAGAAGCAGTAGAGTAAATCTTCATAAATTTAATTAGCCATTACTAAAGTTGTTACAACAAGAACATATCCCGTTTCTCTCATTATACGACTGGAATTACGGTATATAAAACTTCTCTTAAGGATTAATCTTCGAATTTGCAGTAACGGCTGGATCTATAAGAGAAGAAACACACGCGACGTTCCACTACACCCCTCAATCAGACATCGGTATCCATCTGTTCTTTTTGGTTACTCGCACAATACTAAAAAGGAAGAGAGTGAAAGCGCCATTGAAACACAATCTAACGGTCGTTTCGTACGTTTCCAGCTGCCCTCTAACCGAATGAAATCTAACGGAACACGCTTTTTCTTTCTTTTTTTTTTCTTAAATCCCCGTCCCCTGTTCTGGCTCGTGGCATTTGTTTCTTTTCTCTCCCGCTGTATTTCCCCTTTCGAGGATGCAGGAACACGTTGCACAAGAGGGGATTTACACATCTGTTCGTTAGATTATTCTTTCAAAATTGGGATAACCGGATCCCCCTTATAATAACATTTACTATCTACATTTAAAGACTAAAATGGTGTTCTACATAAATACAAATTCGATTCGATCGAATTAATTTCTTCTCTTTATCAAATCATATAGAAACGAAAACTATTTAAATCTCATGCAACCGTAAACAATTTTATTTACATATAAATTAATATTTCACCCGGAGAACAATGAAAAGTTACATAGAACCCAATAGAATGACGACGAAAAGCATTTAATCCTTTTGTATTTCGTGATGAATGAGAGTTAGCAGAAACGGTAAATCCTACAGAAGGGGGTAAAAAAATACAGTCTATAGTTTCTTGCAATCGGAAATTGCGAAAGTTTTATATATATAATACGAAATCATTATTGTGCTACCAACCGGCATAAGAGAAAAAAATAAAAATGGTCAATTTGTATATCTGTCCTTCAAGTTATGACAATGCCATAAGCATAACCATGGGCTTTCGTAAGAGTTAAAAAGCCAAGGAAATCCTGTCCGAACAACGAATGAAATAAGCCTCCCGCTCGACATGCCGTCCTTTTTACCCTATTGTTTTCTCGCCTCAATGAGTAAAACCTTTCTGTATTTAGCGTAAAATGACTTTTTCTTAAAGAAATTACGAAATTGCGTGAGCCAAAATAGATGGATAGCAAGTAGTGGCGGCACTGTTGAAAATTGATTTCGGGAAAGGATGCGATTTTTAAGTGAAACGCAAGTCTGGTATATTTTTATTCTATAACATAAAAAAAAATAAATACTTATTGGACTTTCTCAGAAAAAAAAAACAGTTTGCCAATAGGGAAAAAGCCTAGAAAAATTGTCCTATAATATGATATTATGAAAACAATGTTATCGAATTATGTAAAATTACGCAAATAATAAGAACCAGATGATAAAGGATACAATGAACTGTTTAGAGAATTGCCCAATTTGGCCGGCACAATTGTTGTAGGCTACACATTGAAGACCTACTTTCTGCATCCTGCTGTAAATCCTAAATTTTTCAGGTGAGCCAAATAGTAAATCCAAACAAAAAAACAAAGCTTGTCGTAAATGAGTCGATAACTGTCGGGAACGATTTCTATTTCTTTTTGGATGTTGTAGCTACTGTTTTACCAAGTGAAAGTGTATTCGATATACTTTCACCTGACAAAACAGACCACAGCAATGTAAAAGAAAGGAGACACGTAGCGGCTGACAAACATAAGAGTCATTCCGTTTGAAGTATAGCATCTTAACTCTGTTTAAATGGGATGTTATTCCTCTAAGAACATATATATTGAAAGAGAATGACCCATATTGAGCCATCGATGTCTATATAAAGACCTTGTCCCACATCACATCGTGCGAATTGTCCGGCGAGTATTGGCATTCTTCCAAAATCCGATTGT